GGGGAGAGGCTAAACACTCCTGTCCCCCTGCTCCGCTGCCTATGCCAAAGGTGCTTATTGGCAAAGTAGACCAGTGTTGGCGCATATGGATATTTCTTTACGGGCATTTTCTTTTGGTGCGTGAACCGCAATTTCCAAAAATTCGAGTCAAAGCGGACGGAGAAGGGGCCGTAATAACCTGCGTAATGGCGATTTTGGTCGGGCGCGCAAATAAGCCAACGTGGGCGAGGGCAGTGAAACTGCGAGGAGGTTGGGCGGTTCTCATCGGCCTTTGTGGCTGCCATAGAACAACACCAGGAGCTCGTACTACGCTAAATTTCACATCAAGGTATTGGAGTACATGCAGGTCGAAATCTATACCCCTTTTTCACATCCTTTGGCTTTAAATGAGAAATCGAGGGCAGACGGAAATAAAGATTCGCATTATTAATGGTGAGACGATAGAATGCAGCCATGGACAAGCTCTAGGGACGAAGTTGGATGAAATGCAAAGCTGAAATGGATTCTGCATGCTAACCCGGGGGGCCGGTACACCCTATAATGGCCTATAGAACGTTTTCACTCACGTGATCAGCATCTATGCAAATTTATGGGAACAAAAGAAAGTGTTTACATAAGAAAAGAGATGAACTCCTACAGGATTGGTTTGGAACACCAACATGGCCACCCCCTTTTTTTTTTTGGAACACCAATATGGCCGCCGTGATGTCATGTGAAAACGCTCTATACAGGGAGGCGTCTGGGCTTCAGGTGTATAAAAGGCATTTCCCTTGTTGAAGTATATGAAAGGGTAGGGAAATCTGTGAATTCTTGAGTACCCAGGGAAAAAGGGCCTAGCCTGAAAGTTGTACTAACCAGCACGCCCGTATGATGATGATGATAATGATGATGAGGAGAAGGAGGAGGTTGTTGATGTTAGGCTCTTGGTGGTGACTAAAATTACCGATAATGAATACAATCAAGAAACAGTACGCGCGAGAGAAACCGCCCCCCGCCCCCCAACCCTACCCTCATTTTTTTGTCCCTCTCCAGCCTCTAAATTGGTCCAGGTATTTCTGACACATAACTTCCATCAAAGGAATATCGCGCAGCACATACGGTGATGACGTTAAAGGGTGATAGACGATTAAGAGAGCAAACCATTTTTTCGATACTTTTTAGGGTGCTTTTATTGCTTAGACAAGGAGTAAAAAACAGCAAGTGAAATGCTGGTCCGAATATGAAGACATTTTATTATAAACAAAGCATTTCTTTGCAGGAAAATTAAAATTATTTTCCATTAACATTTCTCTAACAACTAAAACAATTATATACCGGTAATTTTCTTCAGACAACGTTTGTGTACAAGATCACCTGTACCCCATCTTTAAATCTAAGTTAGACGTAACAGAATTGTAAATCTTTATTAACACAACTTTCTAACTTCTATCGTTGAAAATCTCTCAAAGGTGTTCCCCTTATATCTTACTGGTTTTCTCGGCGGTTTTACAGAGTATCGATACATTGTAGACATATATATTGGATAACACATTCCCAAAACAGGCGTTTGATAAGGTGTGAACTTTGATATTAGTTTTTTAATAAAAGACGGGACAGTTGGCAATAACTTTCCGCCTCATCTGCACAACTGATACCAATGGAAATCATTAAATTCGAACTGCTGCTTGACTTCAAACAAGTTGGTCTAGGGTTCACCTGATCGTTTTACCCACTACATTTTATGGATTAACTATAAAAATAACAAACAAACAACAACAACAACAGCAATAAGTAATTTCCAGGCCGCTAACATACAACATCATCATTTATGAATTCCTATAAAATCCTGGCCCCGGTTGTTGCGCTATCCGCCGGAGAAATCGCTATCCAGTGAACACGTGGGCAATGCTCTAAATTTCATACACCCATTAGCTTGGTACTTTTAAGCACCAAAATTATATCTGGGTTCCTAATGTACTAACTTTGAGTGAAACTCAAAAACCACACTAAATTATAGCCCCTAATGTATTACATGTAGTATTGTTAATTAACTATAAAATATTATACTTTAAACTTATCTGTAATTATGAAAGGAGTCTACTAGTGTTCCTATAGCTGAGTGTAAGGGTTACCGGTCGTTTCGACATCAAGTTGTTTCGATCCAAGTTTATTCATTCGAGGTGTAAATAGTTCCACGTACTTGGCTTAAAGAACGAAGATATCCACCCAAAATGTTTTTCTTGTTCACTGGCAAACTATACTTGAAGTGAACAAAATTTTTGGACAGTTTCACTGCTTGAGTTTGTATCGAAACGGCCGGTTTGCAGTGCAAGTCCCAAGGGAACTTCCCCCATGTGAAAGGGGCAGCGATACTTGTCTAAGACCAATCTGGGCGTGGCAAAAGCTTTATAAGACCCTTAGATACCCCTCTAAAACAGACAGGGATAAAAGAGCCTTAGTAATTGAATTTCANAATTAACTATAAAATATTATACTTTAAACTTATCTGTAATTATGAAAGGAGTCTACTAGTGTTCCTATAGCTGAGTGTAAGGGTTACCGGTCGTTTCGACATCAAGTTGTTTCGATCCAAGTTTATTCATTTGAGGTGTAAATAGTTCCACGTACTTGGCTTAAAGAACGAAGATATCCACCCAAAATGTTTTTCTTGTTCACTGGCAAACTATACTTGAAGTGAACAAAATTTTTGGACAGTTTCACTGCTTGAGTTTGTATCGAAACGGCCGGTTTGCAGTGCAAGTCCCAAGGGAACTTCCCCCATGTGAAAGGGGCAGCGATACTTGTCTAAGACCAATCTGGGCGTGGCAAAAGCTTTATAAGACCCTTAGATACCCCTCTAAAACAGACAGGGATAAAAGAGCCTTAGTAATTGAATTTCATATATGGCCATTTTGCGTTTTAAGAAGTAGGCCATGCCCCTTTTGGTATTAAACCCCTCTTTATGCTATTTGTTGCCATTTCATCTAGCGTTAAGTCACTGTTTCAAGGCCATACCACTCGTTGGAAATTTTACCCTAACAAGGCCTCATTCTTACTACATGCAATTTAACAAATCTAAGGAACATTTTGAGACTTATGTTCAGTCCTACCTCAGCCTCTTCTCAAAATAAGATAAAATAATTTTTAAAAAAAGAGTTTAACACTACTTTGATATGAAAACTTGTACTTGTACTGAGAAAATCTTGTTACCTATAGTCCAATCTAAGGGTTCCTATTGACTGGATATTGAGATGTAGATGTTTATGTCAGTCAATACCAGCAATTTGAATTAAAAAGAGGTACAAGATGCTACAGTTAAGTTATCAATATTCTACTTTGAATACTTTTCTACTTTTTTTGACAATTATTTGTCTGAGTAATTCCATGTTGGATGGTTCATTTACTTTGTAGCAAAGTAAATAATGAGACCCAATGCAGCAGCAGCCACCACTAAAATCACCAGGATACAACACATTTTCTTTCTTGCTGCTTTCTGTTAACAGAAAAAGATGGACCAAATTTAATAGCAGTGATATATCTGACTTAGAATCATCAACATGCACTGCTCATTTATTTAAGTTGTTATATCTGCACTACATTTTGCACAAGATGCTGAAATAATAATATTATTACTTGTAAAACATTTCACTAAATCAAGAGCGTTTGAAGTTTCCACACTGCTATATAATGCTTTTGCACTGAAGGTAGTTTT